TTCTTTAGCTGTTTTGAATTACGTTCTATTGGACATTTGAGTAGTTAAAAGAAAACTACTGTGAGATATTGTAATACTGCATGATAATTTGAGAAAATTTAAGCATTTTTGTTGTGATAATAATAAATTTTTGTTCATTTTTTTTCATCGGACTTGTGCATTCATTTCATAACGAACCCGTACGCACGCAACAATACCTTCATGATGAAATTTTCATCTCTGATTCCTCATCTTAAAACGTTGGAATTTTTAATCATCATCTAGGACACCTAGTTCTAAAAAAAGTAATGGAAATAAATTATCGAAAATTGTTTACAAAACTAAAAGAACTAGGGTATTCAAAACTTTTGATTTAAAAATTAAGGCTTCACTGACTTTTTTTAGTCATTTTCAGAGAAATTCTTTAATTTTCGTCCCCATTTAAGATGTTTCTTTATCGTAAGTAGTATAAATGTAGGTTTATGAGTAAGTTTTGTGTCTACTAATGTAGTATAAATGTAGGTTTATGAGTAAGTTTTGTGTCTTCAGGTAATTATTACTGAACAATCCTCTGTAGTCTCTTAATTACTAACCTTGAATCCATTTAGTCAAAACTTTCACTGACAATTTCTATTTTGAATATACACTACTGGCCATTAAAATTACTACACCATAAGGGAAAGTAGCTAGTGGAACCATATTTATCTTATAAATGCATTTTAATGGAAAATGAAATACTTAAAATGTCAGGTAATTTCGAGGTCCGACAAATCAACACCCCGTGCATCCGCCTTTGGTACCGATAGATGCTGTTATATAGTGAAAGCAAACTTTACAGTTCCGGGCTTTGCAGTTCTTGCGGCTTCAGTTCTATGCCAGCAATATATGTCTCATTTGCTGGCGGGTATCATCGTGCCATCCTTTCTGCAATTGTTGATCAGACGGTTTATTTAGTAAAAGATATGGAAAAGAAGCCGATCCAGGTAGGAGTCGAACATAAGGTATATTGAGGAAATGTAGGACGTCATGGGCAGCAATGCTGTCTCGTCCTCCTGAAAGGAGGTGACGGAGGTCCTGAATATATGACGCAAACACGAGCATAAAAGACTGAGTAATGTGTCGCGCGTTCAAATTACTGGATTTGAAGACTAGAGGTGAATGAAGTGTGTTCCTAATGGTATCTCATGCCATCAGTCTAGGTGTTGGTCGATGTAACAGTAAGAGATGCAATTTTCCAGCATTCCCTTCAATGTCCTTCCATATCTCCAACTGAAAATTTAAATCATGATGCTGTAAGCCAAAGCGGGATTCGTCGGAAAAGACGATGTCATTATAGTGATGCGTTGACGTATGTTGTTAAACTCGCCATTATAAAATTTAATTCTTGTGCAGCAATTCCAATAGAAACAGAATCAATATTCACTTGACTAATAACCTTGATACTAAAGTCATCGTTCGAATACCTAATGCTGTACAATACACCCTGCTAAAAATGCCCCATAGAAACAGCAAAATTTTCTATGGTTTTCTATTGAATTTGACCTTTACTGGTTTTTCTTACTGGTATCAAAATGCCCAACAATAGCCAGTAAAATCTTCTTACTGGCATCCATAGAACTCTTTTGGTTTCTATTGCCTTTAATGGTTTCTGTTGATCTCTGTGAGTTTTTCTTATTGGCATTAACTGGCACCTATACAATTCAACATTTCAATGTGAGAACTTTCTACTGGTTTGTATCGGTTTATTATGACCTATACTGTTTTTCTTACTGGTATCAATAGATATTGATATCAGTGCAACCAAAATTATGGGTTTATACGAATTTTCTAACTGATGTCTATAGTGCTCTTGTAAACAATAAAAATAATACTGGTTTTATTAAACCAAAATTCGTTGATATTCTTGTTGTCTAATGATTATTTTAAATTATTTAGTTACTTATTTTCATTTTGTTAATTTATTTGATACTGTTGAGATTAAGATTATTTCAATTTTCTCACCAATAGGAACGCTTAAAATTAAAAAACTTACAGTGAACCTTCTTGTCTCCACCATTTCCCATACCCATTAGACCATCAGAGTAACCCAGAAACGTAGATCGTCGTCTTAAGGAAGGATTCACTATATATGCTCATTTATTTGTTTTTAAAATATTTTGTCTAAAACAATAACAGTAATCGGTACTTACATACATAAGTATATATCATGGTTTCTTTGGATTGGTCTGTTTGGACCTCTCTAGTGAGAATATTTATACCAATCCCTCTACTTCTACTTGACTTTCTTAAAGTCAACTATCTTTTGGACCTTGACTGACTGCGTCAGAATCCGGAGGAAAAGCAACAAAAACACCAATAATTATATATAATGAGATCTTTGTATTGAGCTATAACACACAATGAGGTCTCTCGAAAGGGACCAGCCACACATAAAAAAATTTTCTTTGCTGACGGTCGCCTTGGTGATATTCATTACAAATATATACTTAAAGTCTCAGAAATATTTCTATCTTTTAGAGGTGATCGTCTTGGGGAAATTTGCCTCCATGAAATGAGTCTCTCTAAGGCGACCAGCCACACTTCCAGAATTTTCTTTGGAGATGAACGCCTTAGAAAGAGGATCTTCAGAACCCACATATACTTATGTTCTGAGAAATACCGGTCACTTTTAGAGGCGGACACCTTAGGGAGGTAGTCCTGTCACTAGTTGGTTCTCTTAATACACACATATAACACGCAACGCACACATATACCCATATATCAACATTTCGGAGAGTGCAAATAAGCACTGGTATTGACATCATCTGATTAACGTCATCACTTTCATTCATAGCTTGATAAATGTAAAACTATTTTTCTCCGTGTTAACGCTGAAAAACTGTGAAAAAAATTTCTCCTCTTTCCTCTTTCAGAAATAGAAACTGCGAAACAAGCAACGTGGTGCCTTTCTTGTTAATGTTGTTATCGAATGTTTGTGTTATTGTCTTGATGGATGGTACGCTGCGGTAACGCAATAAATAATATTTTTAATATATTTTACTCTTTGGATGTTTATAACGAATAGTAAAATAGCTGCATTGCTTGTGAATATGAAATTACCTGCAAAGAAATTCCAGTACAGCCATGCACGTGTAATCCAGTTTAACGTTTCAGTGAACTTTACAGGCAATTGAACAGTTCTGAAATGGAGTTTCTCTAGCATTAAAAACCTAATGCGTTAACTTGATATACCATCTTTACTTTTATCCTATGAAGCAATGTGCTTAAAGACTGAAGTGATATTTTAGACTTGATAATTTGGATAAGTGTGTTACAGAAAATGGACAAGCATATTTTTTGCATTCTACTGAAACTGTGTTTTATTGATTACAATTTAGAAGCACTTTTTAAAGCTTTATTGATGTAGATGTTTTATCATATGAATATTATGTGCTAATAAATTTGGCATACCTTATAAGGTATTTCTCCCACTTCCCTAGCGTGTCTTCGTGGTGTAGTGGTTCAGCACGCTGGGCCGGTATTCCAGAGGTCCGTGGTTCGATTCCCGGCGAATGCGGTTGCATATTTTTCATCTTTTCTGCTTCCAATTAACCTAATGACTCTACAAGTGGCGCCCGAACTAAAAAGGGTTGTGAATGATGATACTCCGCACTCAGGATTTGGCGACTAGGTACCCTAAAAACCCCTGGTCGCCCTTTAAAAAGCGGATGGCAACACTATACGAAAAAGAACATTTATCTCCAGCGTGTGAAACTCTCTATCGGAAATTCTAAAGATATCCTGTTTTTAAGTATTTAAGTATTTTGCTGTTTTTAAGGTATTTCTCCCACTTTCTTAGCGTGCCTTCGTGGTGTAGTGGTTCAGCACGCTGGCCCGGTATTCCAGAGGTCCGTGGTTCGATTCCCGGCGAAGGCGGTTGCATATTTTTCATCTTTTCTGCTTCCAGTTAACCTAATGACTCTACAACCTTACTTAAAAAGTTCTTGCATGATCCAATTTTGAATTTTTCGACTAGTACTAATATGATATGATTGGGCAGAAGGAATATTTTTTATGATGGGCTAATTAAAAATTGGGCTAATTACATTTCGCCGAATTAAAAGGTAACTTTTTCAAAATTAAATAAACACTGAACTATTTAATATGTGCATTAGTTATTAAATGAGTAAAGCAAGACATGAAATCCAAAGAATCGTTTTTGCATTACTAAAGAACTGTGTGAAACGTTTTTTTCTTTCATATGGTAGCTTACACTGTTTACATTGTTTTTTTTTTTTTTTTGGTCCATATTTCTGTACAAGTGTGAGACTAGAACCACATTGTTACATTAAACATTTTGTGCTTTTTCATTACAACATATATAATCAAATATTTTTAGCCTAAAGAAGCGTTAGCCCACAACGTTAGCCCACGCGTTAACCTTTTTTAGTCTCGAAATGGGATTTTGCGTCGGTTCCTTATAAAATGGCTTATCACTTTCTAAATTGCTGCCACCAAATATTACCGTCATGTATTGTATTGAAAGGAATTAAATAGTGAAGAATCTGTGTGCATGCATGTATGTTTCTCGCACTGTGAAAAAGCGACGGTACTTTGAGCCATCAAATCTTGAACAGCGTAATCTCCACCCGAGCATGGGCACCTGGAAGCCCGAATTTTGATTTTTTTTGTATTACCTATTTCATATTTATAAACTTTTAAGGAATTTTTTATTAACAAGCTGAACGATTTCAAAGCGAACATTGGCAACACTATACGAAAAAAAACATTTATCTCCAGCGTGTGAAACTCTCTATCGGAAATTCTAAAGATATGCTGTTTTTAAGTATTTTTTGATATTGCTGTTAAATTTAATTTTATGTGGTTTAAGTGCGAACAACAGGATATTTGATAAATAAAGTAAACACACAAAACGTTAGAAAAACGTCCCTTTGGCGTAATGTAAAATCTGAAAGCTACTGGAATTTACGAAAACTAGTTCGAAGATTTTTGTGCCATCATGTATGATTTAATTTTATTAAATGAGAGATGATATAAATTTGAGCAAAGGTAGAATACCTGCAGGAAATATCTTGTTTGATGACTTCCAGTTATTTGTTTTATTGAATACAGTCGAACACCATTACATCAAACTTCAAGGAACCAGAAGTTTTGTTCGCTGTATCCGATCCGATAAGAAAACTGATTATCTTAAAAGGTATTTCTCCCGCCTTCCTGGCGTGCCTTCGTGGTATAGTGGTTCTGCACGCTGAGCTGGTATTCCAAAGATTCGTGGTTCGATTCCTGGCGAAGGCGTTGCATATTTTTCCTCTTACCTTAATGTCTCTGCAGTGGCGCCCGAACTAAAAGGGCTGTGGATGATGACTCTCCCCACCCAGGATTTGGCCATTGTGTTCCCTAAAATCCTCAGTCGCCCTTCAAAAGGGGGAGTATATAAGGTATTTTCCCGCCTTCCTAGCGTGCCTTCGTGGTGTAGTGGTTCTGCACGCTGGGCCGGTATTCCAGAGGTCCGTGGTTCGATTCCCAGCGAAGGCGATTGCTAATTTTTCAATTCTCCTGCTTCCAAAAAATTACCTAATGTCTCTACAATCTCACAAAAATGTGCAAAATTACATGATGAATAAAGGAAAAAACTTATTACCATTTTCACCTCTACTAAAACAAGTGAATACAATCATTTGCGCCAAGATATGTAAGATTGTAATGCAAAGATTTAAACATCTTTCTAAAACATATCTTATGTCTTGCAAAATAACTAAAGAACACAAAACCTATAATCGTAGGATAGAACTTGACAGCATTTATACTCGAACAAAACAAACTTTTCATTCCCTAAAATAACAATAAACTGTAAAACAGCAAATTCATTAATTCACTACTTCCTCTTTCCCTGAATAGCGAAAAGTCTAAAATTTCCATCCCAGCATGAACCTTGAATAGAGGTCCATTTGGTAGTTCAATCAAGGAATTTGAAGGGAATGAGAGTCATCATGTATGCTGTTTAAGATATGCTTAATGTATCTTCACTCTCCTAGAGTTGGGTGTCATATCTGTCTCGCATAGACTTTATTTAAAGAACATGTGAAAAATGGAGGCGACGGAATATTCATCCTGATATCCTGAACGGGGGTAATTTTAAAATCTTGTATTTTTTTAATAATGAATGGAAAGTGTTGCAGGATTTGGAGAAATGAAATCGGTGACCACAATTCTCACTGATTAGAAAAAACCATGAAAAGGTCTTCACTACCAGAAAGGAACTCCTGGAAAGAAAACTCTTTTACAAGAAGCGCTACCAGGAAAACATGTTTTCTCGTACTACTTGATGTTGTTGCTTATGATCACTTGTCTGACGTAATCAGCCCAAGCCCACGAAATTCCTCTTGGCAAGGAGCTCTAGATTACGCCTGTCGATGGCAACAGCCTTGAGCACCTAACAAGTGACAGTGCGATTTGGCTCAGTTCCGCCCCCAATTTTGATTTTTTTTGGGGGGAGGGGACTGGTTCGAAGGTCTCCAACCCTCTTTCCTTCCACCAAACCAAACAAGAGGACATTCAGCTAGCCGCATATTTAGAGTGCCGCCATGCCGCACCAACACTATACATTTACAAACATCCAGTGTCTTTTCCGGGATTCGAACCCGGGCCTTTCAGTACAGCAGTCAGCGACGCTAACCACTATGCCGGTTGGGCGGCTTCGTACTGCTTAAAAACACGTAATACTATCGACAAACCCACATATAACGATCATGTGTATTGCTTATTCACAGAAGAGTTTTTGAAATTGTCAAAATTATATCAAACGTGATTAGTTAATTAAATTATAAGTTGATTTTGGCAATTTAAAGGAATTCTTTCAAATCGCTGAAATGGTCTGTGTTATCAAAAGTAAGTTTCCCTGAGTAATGGGATAGCTGCAGATGTGTTTTCATGACTTTACCCATCTGTAACATAAGAGCTTATTTAAAAAATCCTCCAGAAAGGCACCTTTTCTAACAGAAAAATAGCTCAGTTGGCAAGAACTGTCGTCCAATACTCTAATATCGAGAAATTTCTTGATTACGATGCGTGCGATTGCGCTCGGAATGTTATTATGTATGAAAGAATGAGAAACATTCGCTGAGAAAAATGCATTTTTAACTCAAGATATTTACATTTTCATTTCGATGAGAAAACAAAAGCCGCGTAAAATATATTTTACTTCCTAATCTTTAATATGGTCCTTTCCTATGGATACCTTATGATATTTTATTCAGGATTACGCAAGATGAAGTGTGCGATCGACTCAACAGCAACAATGTCCAATCTCTGCACATGGCTATTAAGAACGTAAACGTCTTAATCGGACGCGAATGTATGGATGTATTATTTATAGCCGTGTTAACTATATTTTCTACCGTATCAACCAGGCCACCGAGACAGCCTTTAATACCTTAAACTAAGAATTATTATTTTCTGATGTACAATTTTTGGGAACTGGTTTCGTCTGATTTATAAAACATTTATTTTTCAGATATTTTAAAGAAGTTGCGCAGTCAGCTAGGACAAGTATTGGAGAAAACCAAGATGATTTTCTGGGATGCGTCAATATACCTTTGGACGTTAGTATTATTCTTATATATCCATCTTACTTATTAAATATAAATTTCAGAAGATTAAAATATTTTATATGTAATAATCACTACATTAATTATACTTCCCCAAACAAAATAACAGTGTATTATACATCTTCCGTTTATTTTATTTTTACATAAAAATCATCTTTTGTGTTGCCTAATAATGAGACATTTTCTTTGCATTTTTATTCTCTCTTCTTTATTCACCTCTTTACATTCATTTTCACTTATTAATAATAAAATTAGTTTCAACATTTAACATTCAAACAGTAATATGTGTTTTAGGTAACTAAATGCTATTTATTGCACATTTATTAAGTTAGGTCTAGTAACCTAACTTAATAAATGTGCTTTTTACACTTTCTTGTGCTAATATAAAAGGTATTGAGATAAAACTAAGATACTAAGGTAAAAGAAGGTTAGGTACTAAGATAAAATATGTCGCAACAACAAATGAGTTGACAGGCCCATTGGAAAGGGGTAGTTTGTCCTGATTTTGCTTATGACTCCTGAATTAGTTGCTCAGAAAAACTTTCCTTGGTTTTTCCCACTTGTAATGTGAGTGTTTGCCAGTTTAGAAAAATCTTAAATCTTTCTGAGGAAATCAAACCTTTAAAAGTCTGGGAACATAAACTTTTAAGGTCTTTTGAAGAACTATCTTGTCTAGACGTGTGAAACTAAACAGAGGTCGGAAGAAGGGTGTATAAGACCCTTTCATAAAAATCAATCATAAAATTAACAAATAATCAATCATAAAATTACCAAATGACCCAACTTGGGTTACACGAAGCCAACACTTCTGGCTTAACAGAAATGTGTTACAAATAATAATTTCAAGGTTTGTTAGCCTTACGGCTCGCATAATACTTTAACGCGCAGGTCTGGTCTAAAGTAACCGGCAAGATAAGCCTAAAGTCAAGAACACATCAACGCCGCTTACGCAAGTCTCGAATAATCACAGCACAACGTGGCCTAGAATAGGCAGACACGCTCTGAAAACTGACTTCCGAAACTCTTGCTTAAATAACACTTCATTCTACCTTAAAATGAATAAACTCTCGCTCTCTGATTTACATTCTAGCATGAAAAGCGTGTTTGAAAAGAGAGTAAAATAGGAAAGGCTTTTCAACTTAAAATAACTATTAGCTAAAAATAAATAGATAAATCTCACACTTTCAAGTTATGTTCCCATATAACTTATTTGCGTATTTCAAGTAAAAGATAATTCGCCAAGAAATTGATTAAAAACTAATTCTTTATTTTCTTAAGTACATAAATCTTATGAGATGTTTATAAATGCAAATTAATAAAAACTTATTTTTCTTATCATTTAATTGCTTTTCAAATAATTTCCTAAGAAGACAAGATTTGTTCGTCAGTATGAACTTTCAAACCTGTCAAAAATTTCAGCACTGGCTTCAAATAAAAATGCATGTTTGGGAGATGACATCGTTTGTTTCCCGAGGTCCAATGGGAAGCAATTATGCTTGAAATCTATTAAAGCAATAACTGAGTTTTTGTTAAGTGAGTCAGTTCTTTAAATACAAAAACAGCACTCATAGTTTTGACGTCAGTAAGTTTTCTAATAAATGTATTTCAAATGATTACATCACTCTTCTCTGTGATGCTGATTTACGTGTTACGTAATTACAATGACACAGCAAAGTAAATTTATATTTGACTCTTTCTTTGAAATAATTTGCAGCACTTTGAAAATAATTTTGCTAAAAACAAACTGCTATAGATACTTTACCTATACTATTACAAAACTTCCTAAATGATAAAAATAATATATAACAGAATCTAAATTATTTATCGCGTAGAGCTAAATTATTTACTTTTTATTGACAAAATTTAAGTTAAATAACTTGTACTTTACTATATCATCTATTTTGTTATTTGATTGCGCTTGAAATTAGCATATTTTTTTCTACATTATATAAGTACAAGACATCTAAGACATTTAATTTTTTTATTATAATACCCTGCATTCTAATTTCACAGCCAAATCAGTTCAAATCTCATGCACAGTATATGAAAGTTTCAGAAGCTGCAGTGGTAAATATTTCTTCATCTTTTAGTAGGCTTATTGCTCAAAGGGAAAAAATAAATCAAATAAAGTAATCTTCCGATCGATGTCAATTTTGATCACGGTACAGTAAAATTATACACTTTTGGGGAGGAGGAGGGGAGCGTTCTACAAAGAATATTCTGATTAGTAAGTTGTTCCTTAACTTACGTATAATCTTTACAGTAACAAGACACTGAAAAAGCAAAACTGACCCTGAAAATGTGCCGAAATTATATAACTTAAGCCGCATTCACCCTGCAGAGGAACATCGTCCAAAGCATTGATCATAAAGGTTGTATAAGAATTTAATTTTCTAAGAATTCCCTTATTTTGGAATTTATCCTTTTATATCTGTGTTTTTTAATGCAGAATTTTAAATTTAGACATTTCCAATCGAAATCTCACAAGCGTTGCTGTCTATGGTAGTGCTTATACAGAGACTGCAATAACTTTCAGATATTTTAGGTAAATTTGATGCAATGAGAACAGATTCTTCATTTGATTAATTAAATTATGCAAATCATTTTGTTCATTAGCCTTCTACGGAGTCCGTATCAAAAGTTTAAGTTTCACATATTTTAGTGAAAGGTGCCAATAATTAACATTGTCGAGGTCTGAAAGCCTACCTTATTTGATTCATTTCTGAAACTGAAACAAACTATTTATAACCACTCACTCAAGAAATATTTGACGGCTAGTCATTCGAGAGCAGTACAGCCAGCCATTCAAGTATTTGAAAGGCTAACTGTATTGCTCTTGACTGGCTCTAACAGTATGCATAATTCAAAATAGAACCGTCAAAAATAATAAATCATTGCCCTAATTTCTATCTACTGACAATAATAAGAGTTCCATTTTAAAGGACAGAAAAACCATAAACTGTTTTTTAGGAAATCTCTGCAGCTGGAGTGGATCGTTGGTTTACTCTTCATGGCCGAAGTCACCGTTCAAACGTGCAAGGCCAAATACATCTGAAGTTACAGCTTGGTACTAGAGAAGATCGAGGAATTACTTCGGGAGACGATAATTTGCGAGAGGTTTTGGAGCATCAACAATTGATATATATTTTCGTGGATTATGAACTGAGAAATTTTCAGGTAAAGTAACTTAGTTCTATTAACTGAAATATTTGTACACTGGTATTTAAAATTAAGGTCGAACGTTATGCTGAATTTATACCAGTGAAACAACAGTTTTGCCAATTCCGAGAAAATGTGCGTCTAATGTATGAAAGTCATCTAATTCTTGCTTTTGCTGTTGATATTTGCTCTGAAACTCCACTTTTTTAAAATAAGCTATGAAGTAAAGGTTAGAAATGCTTCGTAATTTAAGCTCTACACATTACATGACAACTGCTAAAACTTACGAAATAGATCACACCTTAATATGTCATGACTAGTTAGCGCCATTAACGATTTCTAATATTACCTTCATTAAATTTTCTACATACGTATTATAGGATAGTACCATGTGCAGTTTGTTTCCCAGTATAGTACAAGTATCTATAAGTAATGTTTAAACTAAAAAATAAGTATTTCTTTTAATTTTAGTATTTAAGTTATTGCACCTTGGCTGTTAACTTTGAGTGTGTTTAGATAGCTCTGTGTGTTCCATTTTATGTGCTACTGAGCTCCTTTCTCGAGTTATCGAGGTTGAAGTATTTCTCCCGCCTTCGTGGTGTAGTGGTCAGCATACTCGGTGTGTATTCGAAAGGTCAGTGGTTCGAATCCCGGCGAGGGCACTGCTCATTTTTTATCTCTCCTGCTTCGAAATAACCTAATCTCTCTGCAAAGAGATAGTTCTACGCAGATAAAGACTCAGTACCATTTAACTTAAAACTTTAATACGTCTGTACTTGAGAATTTGCAAAATTTATACAGATAACATTTCACATGATTATGCTAAAATTCACAATTCAGTTTTATTCTAAGAGGAACCCCAATTCTAATTTTAATTAATTTTATCGTGCTAACCTTCAAACTTTAACTTAATGATATTTAATCAGGACTTCTCCTGAATAATCTACTTCGGCTAGAAATAAACATCAATAATTAGCAGATACTGCTTTCTAGGGTCTCCGTCACACTTAAACCCAGACTCGGCTGACATACTTCAGACAGCCCTCTCGCTCCAAAAATCTATATAACCATCTGTAGGAAAGGAACTGCACGACTAAGTCAGAAGGTATATAAAAGAAGCAAATTGCAACACGCTTAAAAAAAATCTTGACGTATCATATATATTTTCCTAAGTTTTTCTGAAAGGAAATAACATAACTTGTGTTTTTTAAGCAGTTAAAGATAAACAGTATCAAAAACTTCTGTGTGAAGGATACATTTCATTTGAACCTAACACTGAACGAAAGTTTTGTTCTAATGTACGTAATAAACCGTTTTATGTTTCAAGCACTGGTAAAAGTTACGAAATGAAGCTGGTAACTACTAATAAATGACGAACGTATTTTCCGTAATATTTATCATACTAACAGAATTATTTGTTACTAAACTAATTTTGTATTTAAACATGCGGTTTAAGATAGAAAGTTTAGGAGATTTAAATATATATATAGATTTACCGGTGGTTGAGTGGTGAACATCACTCAATACTGGTAGCTTATCTCGTGTTCGAAACGAGGCGAACGAGCTGCATAGTTGGTTTTTGTGGCCTTCTACATGTGTAACCAGTTTCCTTTAGATCGTCCTCTATCAGGGATTCATCTCCTTAAACAGATACTTCGTGGACTTTACTTTATTCAAATAACCTAAACTAACTTAGAATACAAATACCACTAGCTGTGTGAAGGAATGAAAAAAAGGTAAGTGGTAGAGTACACAAAAATAATCTTTCTTCATTATAAGAGTGTATGCCCGAAAGTGAAGTCCTGACGCGTAAATACAGTAAATGGAACACAGTAATAACACATGACACAGAACATATAAAAGAATCTTAATAATGAATATTTATAGTAATTCATTCTTAAAAGCTTAAAAGTTAACCGTAACTAAGTTAACCGCACTTAGTAAGATAGTAACATAGATGAAACACACTCGTAACATAGACGGAGTGAACTGTGAACATTTTGGAATAACCAGTTATCTCGTGCCCAGTTGCAAAAGTAACACTAATTCTAGCGACGAAATTATCAGAAGTTTCAATGGCGACTCGTAAACGATACTTTTGAGATGTTCACACAAATTACAAATTCATAGATTGTAGGACCCAAATGAGACTATTTCACCCAATCCATGCAATTCTTTTATTGTCATCCCATTTACTATTCCATAATTTGCACTAACAATTTTTACACTCAGTTTACACTAGCACAAACTTATCTACGTATTTCCATTCCATTGTAAATAAACAGTCCCCACACGAGTCCATTTACTTCTTTTTATAATCAGATTTCTTTCTTCGTTTCTCAGTTGTTGTGTTCTTCAGTTTCATAACTCGTTAGTTCTTCGCTCCCCGTTTTTATTTAGAATGGTTGTTCAGTCGAGCGTCCGATTTGACAGACATAAAACGCACGAAACCAAAAATATAAAAAAGAAGTAAGACAAAAAACAGAAGCTTAATAAAATTAATTCTATATTTTATTGTTTTCGTTTCTTTATAAATGAAGAAAATTTAAACAAATGGGGCATTCAACTAGAATTTAAAAGAGGATAGTTTTTTGAGAAAAGATGGTAAAGAAGTGAATGTATTTTTTATTTTAGTATTTAAAAGAAACAAACAAACATGACCCTAAGCCTTTCATCAGACTTTTCACGATAACTTACATATAAAAGGCATATTGTTCTTTAATATTTTCTGAGAAAGCATTCATGTTCCTTTTATGACCCAAGAGTTACAGAAAGCATTCACATTATCAAAAGTTTCGAGTTTCGTTTGATCGAAAGAATTTATCTAACAGCTCTCTAGTACTGATAATAAATCAATAGCATCTTATATTTATTTACTGTTAGGTGTAATAATCCATACGTTATGTTAGCGATTGATTATGATCATCTAATGGCGAAATATCCAGAAAATGAAAGTGTATAACTTACGCACTTGCCAAAACGATCATCTGGCCATAATTCAATTAAACGTTTATGGAGACAGCTTTCAGACGCCCTTCAAAAGCCTCCTGACTTTGAGAACTCTTACGGACAGCATAACATATATGGCTCTCGGAACTCCTTAAAAGCCTTCCGGAAAATATGAGGTGAGATTGTGAAGGTCTGTATCCCTGAAGTGAAGGATCACATCATTTATTTATTAAGCCATAAGGATGCTTCTTTTTTCCCCTTTATGTTCATGCCTTTTTTTAGACTTACGTAACTAAACGTGTTCTGATATTATTCAGAATGATTATTCTATTTTAAGTGTTTTATTTTATGTAACATTAAGAACATACGGCTAACTCTGGAAACAGGCAGAAACGCAAACTTGGACTAGTGTGAATTTTGAATAAAACTCATATTTCTATCGCGATCAGATACAAGTCCGCACTCCTCAGCAGGGAGAAAAAAAGTTTTCAAAATTTAAAAAATCTTACCATCAATGTCTGACTGCCATAGAAATGAAAATATTTTTATTCAAAATAAGCCAATTTAACACTGCTTTATTTTTTTCCTCAGTTTTAAAATTTACATCGTTTGGCATGTTTCTCTTCCTGTTATAGACCACCGCATATCAAGCATAAAATATCATAAAATCCAGTTTATGGGTAATAAAAGGTGAAATTTTTGTTTGACCAATTAATTTTTGTTCTTCGAAAACTGAAAAATATCCTCAAATGTATACTTCACACATTTGTTTCTTACGATTCAAGTGATTTTAAAATAGAATTACATACGAAATAAATGCTACAATTAATAATTTTTGCATTCCTTTTCTTTGTACATAGAACTCGCATACCGTAAGTCTTCGATTCTCAAGCCCACTTTTCTTTACCTATAAAAACGGAGTATGTCTTAGAATCGATGGCATCTTGGAATAAATTTTTCCGAAATGATAGTAATTCCGAAATAATTAACTTGTAGAGTCATTACGTTATTTTTAAGGAGTAGATGTGAAAAATGTGCAAAGCTCTAGCCGTTACTCGAACCTAGACTTCTCGAATACGCGCCAAATGTGCTACAGGTCCACCACGAAGACCTGCTGGAACGAGGAAGGAAATACTTTATATACTCCTCCTTTTAAAGGACGACTGCGGATTAGGGACCCAATTGCCAAATCCTGGTTTTGACAAATTCTTGCCCACCACCTTTCATAGTTTGGGCGCCACTGTAGAGTCATCAGGTTATTTTGAAGCAGGATATGTGAAAAATGTGCAATGCCCCCGCCGGAACTCGAAACTGGATCTCTCGAATACGCGCCGAGTGTGCTACCATTACACCTCGAAAGCATGTTGGAAGAAGGTAGAAAATATGCTTTTCCAAAATACCGATTTAAATAGCTATATTACTTTGTTAATAAACCAAGGTCTATTATTATAATTATTTGCTAAATATAACTGGATAACGTATATTCTGAATTAGGCAAAAAAGACAACGTTTATTCTGAATTAGGCAAAAAAAAGCTACTCGGATTCTGAATAAAACTCTGTCAGTTTCAAGAGCAATCAATCCCTTTATTTAGAGGCCAAAACAAATTTTTACGAAGATATGAGAAACGACAGCATTTTTATAAGGAAAACGGGCGCAGCAAAGTGAAAATGATCATACCACAACCTATCTCGTAAAGTAGTAATTAAACGTAAAAACTTTAAGATATCAGAATAGTAATTAACCTGTAAAAGCTAAGATATTATAAATTTTAATATTTTAGCTTTTTCATGCTTAGTTACTATTTTTCTCAACGGATTGCTCTACGTTCATTTTCATTTTGTTTCACCTATTCATTTCCATGTAAAATGTTTGTCGCTTCTCCCACCTTTGCAAAAATATATTTGCCCCTACAAAAAAGACCTATATCTGATCACCATCGAAAAAGATATCGTTTTAATTGAAATCTACATAACTCTAATGTTGATATTTTATCTAATTTAAATTTTCAAGATACATCTTTCATATACTATGTCATTTACTTAGAATCAGAATCCGTTTCTGATGGC